TCATTATTTTAACAAATAAATTCAAAATGCAAAGAGCACCAAACATAATATTAGTATAGTAATGTGGACTGCGCATCCTCCATAACTTGTCTTAAGTTGCCAAATACCAATATTGTTAGAAAGAGATAACCAATACCTACCTAGAAATATGAAAGGACCTAAACTATATGACAGTGTATGGCATAATTATTTTTTTAACAATGATTTCATCTCTGTTGTCAAACCTAATAGTCATAATAATTGTTTGCTATATTTATTGAACAATTTTTATTTCTGTCTCTATCTCTCTCTATAAGTCCATTCCTTATAGGTTTATTATTGATAATTTTGTAGTTAAGAATTATGTAAAAAAATTAAAACACGTATCTATTATATTATGGTTCAATACAAATAACAAGTAAACATTTTTTATCCTGAAACCTGTGTGTATACGTTCTATTTCGATGTTTCGAGCATTGTTAGATAATCGGTCTTACCTGGTGGATTTCCTCAAATAATATTTTGTTAGCTTCAATTTAGAAAACGAACATAAATATAAAATAAAAATAATTACAAATGTATTAAATTGTATATACATATGAATGCGAATAATAATACACATATAGTATAGCTACATATAGTTAATTTATATTTAATATAGTTAATTACTATAATTTATAATGTTTCATAGTGGAAAAAAATATATAAATATGTACTAAAAAACTCATAAAAACGCATTTTTTCGTTGAAAATTTGCAAAACCTATATTAAAATATGCACTTAAAAAGTTCGGAAATATGCAATTATATTTACCAAATTTCTAAAAATATGCACTTGAAATATGCGCAAAAAATAATAATTTCTCTGTTAATTTAAAATTCAGTTTGTTTAGTTAAATTTGATTTATTTTCATTTCAATTATCATGAATTATAATCATTTTACTTATCTTAAAATTCGTCTCACTTTATCAATCTTGATTTTTTTTTTCACGCTTATTCTACTTATCCACGTTGTCCACGGATATTACGAATAAGATTACGGGAGCGTGGGAAGCATAGCACATGCATACATTGTATAAGTATAACACGCGTACTACACATGTTCTTTGTGACGAAAATAAATATTGATTAATTGAATACGATATCGGCGCAGGCGATGGTAACCGTTGATTTTGTAGTAGGAACTGTCGTAAATTATATACGTACTATAATATCCATTCATTACTAATATTTTGGAATTTTAAATATGCTCGGGAAAAAACAAGCGGAAAAATAATTCCCAAAAGTCATATATGTCAAATAATACCCAAAACAAGCAAAAACATGCACTATTCAAATTTGTATTTTCATTAGTATTGCTGTAAAACAAATTTGTGCCTCTCACTTAAAATTTTTTCCTATTTATTAAAAAAAAAAAAACAAGCAAATACATGAACTTACGAGCACCGCTGAATTAACAGCTTTATGACATTTATAACACTATTATAATTTTTAACCTTTGGTATTAAAATAATATCTAAATTAAAAGTTTATATTATACACTCGTGTCGTTTAATGTTTTTAATTTACTGACTCAGTTTTTCATTGAGGAATTAATTAATTTAAAATACCTACAAAAATTATCATCTAATATTAACTCGTCAATTGAAATTTTATCACAGATTATAACATATTCAGACACAGAGTTTTTAAATTTATCATCTCTAATAAAGTCCTTGTTCGTTTGGTCGTTTTCTTCTAAAACAATAATTAATGAATTTATTTAAATGTTGGGTACTTTGAAAGTTAAAAAATAAAGATTCAGTGGAAAATACATATGAATATAATTCTTTGACAAAGCCATAATGTTCAAACATTTAACACGGGGTTGATCATAATTTTTATTTTATTTTAAAAAAAGTTCAGCGAAATGCGTGTTCATTTTTTTTTTTTTTTTAATAATTATTTCAAGTTCAAATTTTCACGAAAATCGTAAAAAATACAGTTACTTTTTATGTATTATTTATCACGTATTACTTTTTTAAAATAATTCTATCAATTTATTATAATAATAATACTATCCACTTAAATTCGTTAAAAATAATTGTAATATAGATGCATTATCTATTTTTCAAACGGTCGTATAAAATATGATAATATATTATATGTAATATAATAGTAGATGATATGCAGTATTTAATATACGGACAATAAAAGGAGGTGTATCATTTACTTCAAACAGTTATGCATAATATGCAACGGGAGGAATGCTGCATTTATAGACGAATTACCTTTATAGTATTACACCCGGCAATAACTGAGTTTCATACAATTTTATTTCATATATAGGTATTTATATGATATGTGATATTATATTATATATGCGGCTTTATGAAATATGATTATTGTTCGGTTTAAAATGTTTTTTGAGGTCTAGGTCATATAAATGTCGTCATTTTTCCGCCATCGATTCACTCCTGCAGAACACCGTCTCTTATTGTTACAGACTTCCACTGAACTTAGCTCACAATAGTTTAACATAGTTCACCTTTTAAAATATAATTGAATTAGCACTGATCTGTTAAACAGACATGTACCACATTCAATGCATGTTGCATGTATACTTTGCATACACGGTATTGTGTGTACGAGTAATTTTATTGTTTTCCATAACAAACATCATAAAAAACTGTTTTTCTGGTTTTTTGCAGAACAGTTTTTTTCGCTTCCTGAAAAAAATGAAATTTAATATACGCCATTTTAACAAAACACCGTCGATATTATCTTTGTACCTCAGCATGGGACGCGAGCGCTTCCTTATTATATTTGGACGGTAACAAAAATATTACCGTCTCGAAGAAAAGCGCATCTGATGAGACTACTACATCTACGATTATCATAAAAACTATTCAACGGTCCCAGGGAAGAAGGACTTATTATACCTTATATCTTTTTCCCCTTCATTTGTTGGTCTAAATCACATACAGTTTGTATTTTCCAAATTTAATATGCCTAATTCCTATGTTCAAAATTATACAAAATTCTTGAGACCAAAGATACAATAAATGTATTATATTTTATAATATATTAATGAGTTTTCTTTAAAATATGGAGGCGGATAGATTACACAGGCAGTGTAGAACGTGACTTAACTAAAATTTTGCATTATTTATTTATAATGCTCTAAATTAAATTATTACCAAGTATATAGAATATTCAAAACTCATTTAAATATTTTTAAATACTATAAATAATAAATACATGTACATGATGTTTTTCAAGTTTATGCTAAAAAGTTATTAAAATGTAATAATATTAACAATAAAATAATATAATACAACAAAATATTAGATAAACATAATAAATAGAGTGATATTCTCAAATGATATTAAAATGTTTAGATTTGGAACGGAGGGAAAGGAAGGATCTATTGGTTCTACAATCATATATGCTTTTTTTTTTCCTGTCTGTAACCAACCTTTCGAAAAGAATACTTGCTCCGATGTATCAAGTGTAACACTTTTCCTGAAAGGAAATTTTCTCTAATTGGTGCGTTCAAGTGGCCAATTATTTATTTTCCACGAGGGTTTCAAAATAGTTAATAAGAGAAAAACCGACAGCAAAATAGTAGGAAAAACGGCAAATATTTACAATACACTCGGCCATGCCAACTTCACAGGTTTTAATTTGTACGCACGATGTCTTCTACAAGAAAAATTGCACCGATAGAGAAATGACGAGAGAATTTTTCGTTCCATATTTTAACTAAATGGTAAATAAGAAACTCGATTTTTAATTGTCCTTGTATGTTTTTTAATAATTGAGCAAAACCAAATAAAAACGTATAAAGAACAGGAAAATTTACGAAATTATGGTTTTATTTTCAATTTTTTGTTTTTGTTCTGATTAAGTTAAAAACATTCGAAAATACTTAGCATTCTGACAGATAACCTAAAATTTCCCATTTTAGTAGTGGTCATATTTTAAAACATTTTAGCAATTTTTGAGCCATTTATAGGTACTTCAATTTTGGTAGTTTTTTTGCGTAGTTTTCATTTAGTAAGTACAAAGTAAATATAATTGTTTGAACGAACAGAAATATTTGAATATTTTACATAAAATAGGTTTATTATAAATTGTACTTAGAGGTAAAAAAAAAAAATCTAGAGTATATATTATAATGTAATAATTAGTTTTGCATAGTTTTTTTAAGATTAAATTTTGAAGAAAATCGTAAATATTACGGTCTTACAAATTATGTATATACGAACTTCGCTCAAAATCGTTTTTTGTTAGCAATGGTTTATCGTTGCTTCCAGTTGTAAATTAAATAACTTTACATATTCTACTTTCCCAACTACCTACCTACAACAATGGAGTACCCATCAAGCAGTATAAACTCTTTTCTAGATTTTGAGGGGAGAATTATTTTTTAATATTTTTTTTCTTTAAACTATTTTTCTACCATCAATACTACTCCTATTTTTAAATGTATCACTTTTTTAGAAAATAAATTTTATTGGAGTGGATATATTTTTTTAATTCTTCCAGGTGTTTTCGTCATAAATGAGAAAAACTGGGAAAAAACAGAAAAAATGGAAAGATTTACAAAAGATATTATTTTTAAATCGTAAATATTACGACCTTTCAAAACATGTACATTGTACATATTACTGAACTCTTCTCAGAATCGTTTTTCGTGAATAAAGATAAATCTTTACATACAGATTTATATTAAATTCCACTCTATTTCCTAGTTTCCTAATTTACTACCTACAGCAGTGCCCACCCATCGTGTGAAGTATGTCTGTATTTTTTTTTTATCATTATTTGTTTATCTGAATGTACTGTTATAACAAAGTTTTCCTGAAAAATTTAAGGTTTTACCTTTTACTAAGATCTGTTATATTTTTAGGAAACACTTTTAACATCGTATCTAAAAAAGAAAGATACGAATATTTATCTAGTCTAGAACCTATCGGCAGTTTTTTTTTAAATTAAAAAAAAAAAAAATGAGAACTAAAGACGATCGGTTTTATTTTTGTTTACTTCCTTACTACTTACCTTAGCCACAAGTGTATTAATAAAGCCATATAATTAACCACTGACACTTTACAAGTTACCTGAGCTCTAACGTTTAATTAGAAAATATATTGATTTCTTGGCTAAAAAAAATAAGCCTACTCAATATGGGAAATACATCCGGCTTTTTTCATGTATGTATTTATATCTTTAAACCTAGAAGAGAAAGGCTTGTGTCAATTTTTTTAGTTTTCAATACAAGGAAATTAAATTTTGAAATCCCAAAAATTGACTTAAGCGTTAAGTTAAATTAAGAGAATTAATAAATACGTATATGTTCATATATACATATAACATTGTTCAGTAAATAATAATTATATTATAATAGTTTGCAATCTTCGGGCTGACCTAACAAAATAGACAAATTTTACGATTTTTAATAATTATTGTTGTATTAATAATGTTGTTATATACAGTGTTCGATAAAATTGTTCACCAAACTGCATCAGACTATAGTTTCAACGAAAGATTGGTGAACTCATCACGAAAACAGCGTTGTAAACGCCACACAGTAGTTACTATAATGGCAACACGATTATTTACATTTCCGAATTATAATCAATAGGTGTACACGAAGGTAACTACGTTTTTCAATTTGATAAATTCTTTATCGTCTTTAATGTCTTTAGCCGTCTTTTATTTTTAACAACTTTTTTAAAATAACAAGTCTAGATTTGCGAATGCTGCAGATTTCGAAAATCCGGGATCTCCGAGCTTTGAATAATTTCCCGATTTTCCTGTTCCCCCGCATATTACAGGTACCAAACTCTACGAGGTCACGCGTGCAAACAGTTCGTCCTTTTAATACCACCCTAGGGGAGGGGGACGCCAGCGGCCTATAGCGGAAAACATTAATTCGGCTCTCGTATAATATAATTATTTTTGTTGAACGCCGCCACTTGAACTTAATATTAATTAATCTTGCTCGGTCCTAACCGCTCTCCACCCCCATCCGCTCCTGAGCTTAATGTGTAGCTCTGCATTAACTTGTTGACGTGCTCGGCATTCGGCAGCAAGTCACCGTAAACAATCCCCGATCCGTCACAATTCGCGTTGGTGACTGCCACGTTTTGAAATCGCACTCGTACGTATATTTAAACGTAGTATAACCCTCCCACTTTTGGAAAACGGTCCAACCGTACACGAAACTGATAAATTGTTCGCCAACAACTCGTAAAATAATATTCGAAACGGTTCTGGTCACATAATTAGTCGTCCCAAAACTTGTGCGTTTTGGCCCTCGAATAGACGATACAAAACTATAATGTTATTCGTATTACATTGCCATACACATTTCTAACTGCAAGTCGAAATATTATTTCAACAATATCAGATTTAAACTGACTTTTAATCGTTCGAAATGTTTGTTTTTCTTATACGAGATAATACAATCATAAAATGGACTGACATTAATAATGGAGGCGAGATTGATTTTTATTGTAACTAATAGACATATATTTTATTTAATCTCTCTGTGTGGCTACAGTTTTTATAAATGATTACAGTTTTCTTGATTGATAAACTGTTAAAATATGATCACGTTCCCGTTGATTCAAACGATACGGTTATTATTTGTCTCTAATTATTTTAAAGAAAAGGCAAAGGTGTTTCTGGTTTTTATATTTGATATGGTTTGATTTAAGAACACTAATGTACAAAAAATAAAAAAATACGGACATATTTCGCATCGTCCGAATGGGTCACTATTGTAGATGAGAAGTTGGGAAGGTAGAATATAAAGGGAAATTTAATATATATTTATACACAACGATTAATCATTGCTAACAAAAACCAATTCTGAGCGTAGTTCAGTTATACATGTTTTAAAAAGCCGTAATATTTACGATATGAAAATAATAAACTTCGTAAATTTTCCCGGTCTTCCATTTATTATGAAACCCCTGGAAAAATCAAAAAATGACCTCTTATAAGTATCACCCCAATCAGATTTACTTTCAGAAAAATCGTACACTTAAAAATATGGGCAAAATATCTAGTAAAAAATTGTTCGAGATAAAAACAAATAATAATAAACATTGTAAAACCAATATATTCCTTGTTTCGCTCAGAATCTAAAATTATGTTCTGTTTTACAATTTTATCCTTTTATCCGTCGGACAAAATTCGTAAATATAAAAGATGTATAAGAGTTTAAGCGAAGACAATAGCTAATCAGCTCCCACAAACAATTTACCTATTCAAACAAACAATATTGTGTTATAAATTTGTTTATTTTTTTAAAAACTTGATAAATATAATTTTATTTTTCATACATAGATAATAATGATCAGAAACATATTATCTATCGTTTGTATTTAAACTATATAGGTGTCTTATTTATTTTGTAGACAAGAAACGAGATTAAAAAACATGTTTCTCCACAATAACACAATAAATTATTTATTTCTTGCATTATTATTTTTCGTATATACAGTTTAATTTCCCCTTGGCGCAAATATATTTTTCATGGTTAAAGCATAAAATAATAAAATTCTTTCAGTTTTTCATCTAATATAATATTATCATAACAACATTATATGCATTTATTATAATATCGTGATTTGTAAGAGGGGTTTCGGTATCCCGTTAAAGTTTTATAATTAGGGCTGGATCATGGAAGGGACTTAGGAGAGCTGTAGCCCCGATCCGCAAGTTAAAGGGGGACCAAACAATGTGTGTTTTTGTTGATGACCTTGTTAATTGTTTATCAGTCATTTATACGAATCTTTTGCTGATGACATTTTTTTTTACTTATTGGTAAATACTTGGCCCCGGTGCCCCATAACCCTAAATCCGGCTCTATGTACAATAATATTGTTGGACATAGTTTTAGGATGTGATGCGCAATTTCTATAAAAATGCAAGTTGCATCATGCAGTTGGTAAGGGTATGAACTTTCACATATCGTTTAAAATATTTAGGTAAACTCACGTGATAAATATTATTCCATGTATAAGTACGGAAAGCGATTATAAACTAAAAAATATTACGTATACCGACATATATTTAAAATTAGCTATTTTATAAAACGTGTTCCGGTTTCCGAGTTTGTCGATTTTCACGTTTTACCAATCTCATTGAACCATGACGTACATTAAGTTCACACAAAGTTTCGCTTAAAATATATTGAATTATCGTAAAGGCAGTTTTATAATACTTGCATTGCATACGCATTTTATTAACAACAAAAAAAGTAACCAGACTAAAATATACGTCATTTAGAAAACTACCCAATACAAATATTATTATTATTATTATTATAGTGTAGTACACTTATTTTATTTTTGAAAAATTTGTTCGATACGTTTATGAATAGTTAATTAAACAAATAATCTGCACGTTATATACAAAAAAAAAAGCCGTATTTAATTCACACCATGGGCCATGCACTGTTATAAGTGTGAAGTTCAATATTTCTTTGATTGAAAATTTGTTTTGAGAGAAAAAAAAACACATTTTAGTAAAACTATTATAGCTTCTTCCCTGCGCTCAGAAACCAAGAGTTACGGAAAAGATTTTGATGAAAATTTATATTATCGTTTTATGAGTATAGCCTACCATTTTCGACTTTTTTATTAATAAAGTAATAATATATATTATAGTAGGTATATGACGTGTAAAATCATAATGTTAACCTTTTGTATTTTATCACTATAGGTATACACACAACAACACGGATAAGTATTTTTTTATTTTTTTTTTTTTTTTTTTTATTATTATTAACTATAAAATTCATTTTTGCAGACAAAATGATTAATGCGGTAAATACTTTTGAAATGTTCACATTTATTATTATATTTTCAAGAGAACAGCCATTACCGCGAATATTTATAGTACCATAAATATAATTCTTGAAATTTAGTTGGCGAATTAAATTTTACAAGTACATGTATATATATATATTTATGTATTTATGTACGAGAAAAATATCGAAAAGAAAAAAAAAAGGAAAAACGAAGATAAGATACACGAGAGCACGATTGTGTTCGCAAACGTCTACTTTTGCATAAATAAGTATACCGATAAATAATACGGCAAATATAAGATCATTACATAAAATAAAATTACCGTAATAATATTATGTTAACTCAGTATTACATATACTTGTTCCCTAGAGTATTATGGCGTTCGGCCGTTTTTACACAGGTATTATGATATAGATGTGCCAAACAATCAAACATATTATTACTTATTAATTATTATAACAGAGCCACGATAATTGAAGACGGTAGCAAGACGATTAGTCACAGACCTGTGATGGATATTTTTTAGAAGTATTTTTTAATTCATAAATATAGATATTATTTTAATATATACTTGGAATATACGTATCTGATTACGGGTACAGAATTTTTTTAACGCTATTTATAAATACTTCCGAATACTTTGGTTTGTGGGCCATGATCGTTGGTAAAATTTCCACAAAAGGCGTAAAATAAATAAATGATCCAAATGTATGCTAAATGAAGGTTAAACTTTACGTTTATTAAAATAGTTCATGTTATTTTTTCAGAGGGGGGAGATACCTCATGGCCTCATAACCCCATGACATGGTCTTACTCCTCTCCCCATGGGCGCCCATGCTTATGTCTACACTAAGTTCCATAGATAGTGTAGTTTATATTCGCTTTTTTTATAATTGATACTATTTGTATAATATACTGTAATAGTTTAATATAATTTAAGATAATTTAACATTAAAAAGTACTGAAACGTAAAATTCGCGAGTGAATTGTCTGAAATATTTAAATCTAGAACTGGCCTTAGACAGGGCGATCCACTCCCTCTCGTTCTATTCAATTTAGAATTGAAAAGAGTGATTAGGTCTCTTTGAAACAAGGCATAGAAATTTCGGAGCAGAAAACTTGCTGGCGTGCATGAATTATATTGTCGTAATAGATCTTGAGAAGATGTGGAAATAAGAACTGCAGACTTATTTAATGTGACCTAAACGATGGGTGAAAGAGTTAACAGAGAAAAAACAAAATACCTTGTAGTATTAACAGGAGTGAGAGACGAAACTAATTTGCAAGTTAATGAGTATGTATTCCAGTAGATTACAGATTTTAGATACCTAGGAATTAATTTAAATAACCAGAATGGTATGTACAGCGAAATCAAATTGAGGATTTCATCAGGAATTAAGGGTTACTATGCGCTGAGAAAGTTGTTTAAGTCAAAACTTTTATCCACAAGGTCAAATAAATACGTATACTCCAGCATTTTTTGTACAATTCTAACTTATGGGTGTGAAACCTCATCGGTAACTATGGGACACAAGAAAAAAATGAACATTGAGCATGTATTTTGAAAGGAGAGTACTACGCTAAATCTATGGACCTATAATTGATAATGGAAAGTATAGAAAAAGAACTAATCAAAAAGTTACCAAATGTTTCATAAACTTATGATTAGTGCGTTTCTTAAAAGCAAAAGAATTTAATGGGCTGGTCATGTTTTGAGATCTGAAAGTATAGCAAACAACAATAAATCAATTCAAAAATATTCGAATTCACATTAAATAAGTTCAAAAGTATTCTCCTGTGTAAAAATAATATAGGACATAGGTACAATAATATTAAGTATTATAAAGTATTAAAATAATTATGTATATTATAATACACATATGTATAATAATATTTTTGTTTTTTTTTTTAATTTTCATCAAATTAGTAAAACGATATTTTTTTTTTTTTAAACAATAGAGTGCACTTTCAATAATAATCCAAAATAACACAGAAGTCTTAACGTTTTGAATATATTCTTGGTAAGTTTATAGCTGCGCACAATATTTTTGTTCGTTTTCGAAACACTTGCCCACGTTTTAGAAAATTGCTAAGATTACGAGGAACTTACGGAGATTATGAAAGTTTTTCAGGTTAACCCAGTGATATGACGGCACACACACGGTACGATCATTAAGCACGCGAGTTGATGACTAGTCACAAGACCTTTAAAAACTCAGGTATCTATATATAATGGTCATTATTAGACTTAAAATCTTAAACCGAAGTGGATAATATTTACGACCTTTCAATCAATATATATATATCTATAAATATATATATACAATATACAGAGAGAGAAAGAGAGAGAGAGAGAGAGGAGGGAGGGGACTATCGATTTTATACAATACAATTAATCGAAAAATCGATTAGGTACGAGTACAATATGCCGTATAATAGGGAGTATTTAACGACACATTAAAGTTAATTGTATAATCGATGTTTCTTTTCTTTTTTTAGCCAATAACTCTTCAAATCCCTGTTTAAAATATATTTAATTCTAATAAATTAAATACCGAGAGAGTACTTATTATACATAATATATTTGACGCACACGTTGTTGTTACGGTAAAACACTGGTAGCCCAACACAAACTAAAATAAATAGTGTTATGACAAATTCATAACTAAACACCAAAAAAAAAAAAAACAAAAAAACAATAAAAACTAAACATGATTTTTATTTCATATTTTACTATAGAAAACTCCTCTACAATTAAAAAAAGCATAAATTACTTTAGAAATAACTTGAATTTTAACCAATTAACCAATAATTTAATAAGTTAAATTAAAATTATTTATTAAAAAAAACAACTCCATTATTATTTTCTAAAACTGTATACAATAATATATACCTGTATTTTTTACACTTTTAATTTTGTATCGAAAAAAAAATAAATAGTTTTGAAACTTTGGTTGTACGTATAAATAAAGTTGGTCCTTATCTTAGTTTTAGTAAAAACAAATTTCAGTCACTCTCAGATCAGTTCTAAATAATAAAACAAATATTTTTCAATTTTTTCACTTTTCCCTTAGTCTTTTTTATTTTTTAAAACCATATTATAAGAGTAGTGACATCGAATACACCACTAAAATGTATTTGTTCAGTTTTTATAACAATAAAGCAACCGTCAACAATCATCATTTCAATAAAACAAAACAAATTACCAATAGGTATTATTTTAGTTAAACTTAACTGCGAGCGTGATTTTATAGAACAGAGAACAGATACCGGAATGTTGGATACTTAATAAAAAATGTTTGTAAAATAAAAAAAAAAGGAAGGAAGAGGAAAAATCCGAACAAATTTGACAACGTTGTTTTCATTATTTAGAACCACCCTAATATTATATATGATTGAAGAAGATGTAATTTTTAGACATTGTAATATAGGCATATTATTCAACTTTATTATAATGTATATATACTAATATTAGATTTCTAATCAAATTTCGCAATAAGAAATTATGCATGGTTTCAATAAGTAAATACTCCGTGTATATTTTGTTCAACATATGATTACATAATATTACAGTAGATAATAATTTTCAATGTGCAATCTGTGAAATTGTCCATTTTGTACCGTAATTTCTTCAATCCCTTGTTTTTAATATCGGCTTTACGCCAAAACATCAATTCCCCTTCAACTCTCTCGGTCTAATGATATTTCCTTCTCGTCCATTACCTACGGTAAACATTAATCTTCTAAAACTCCCCCTCCCTGGTAAACCTCCGCACGGAATGACCTTTTTTTTTTTATCTGACATCAATTTAATTACTTCTCGGATGATCTGTCCTTATGCTGGCAAAATGTGGTCCGTGCGTGAGGAAACCTTAACCATTATTGTAGTAGACGTGAATCTTCCCAAAGGAAAATTATTTTACTTAAACATCACCTGATCTTTTAGTCTCTGAGCGCATTCTGAGCAATGTATGGGCTTAACTATGATGTGTTTTATGTGTGTGTGTGCATATTTCTCTCCCAAAAATTTTGTTCCAATCAAAAGATGATTAGAGAACATTTTGTAAAACTTTGGATCTTGTTGGTGCATTTGGAAGATTATTTTTAATTTTCAAATCAACCTTCTTGATATAACTAAGAAAAAAATAGAAAATAACTGTTTTATTATTTTCAATTTTGTTTTTCGTTGTAATTCGATTAAAAATAATCATAGATGCCTGAAATTCCTGTGAGCATTTTCATTAACTGAAAAAGTGTATTGCGAAAAAAAAATTCTTACCGGGTATGGCTAATATAATACAATCAAATTATATTCATTAATCATTGTCGAATTCAATTTATGAGCGATAACTACCACCTATCGTTCTGTATGTGCTATTACTATTATTATACGAGAATATTATTGTGTTGTAAATATAGTAAAAGTCGATTTCGAGCGATGTATTATATATTTTATATCTTCAAAAGTAACAACGCCGAACGTTTTTCATTTTCAACACGAAACGCGATACGGTCGCGACGATGAAAGACGAGGATTTAACTTAATACGCGTATCTTTTCAGTTTCATAACCTCATTTAAAATCCATTACTTTATTATATATAATAATGTGTAATAAACTTTTCTTCTCCGTGTAACGGCTACTATACATTGTTATAAAATAAAATATTGTCCTTTGTCGTTATTGGTCTTATTTTATTATTATATTGTTGTAAACGTACACTTATTATCATATAGACGGATATCTAGTCACATTTGTGAGGGCGCGTAACTTGGTTTTTATATCAATTAGCAAAATTCTTCTTGATTTACGTTTCAACCTACTGTTCACCTTTTTCTAACTGTGCCACCACAAATGCGTATTGTTAATAATATTATTATATGTGTTTTTAATTTTTTTTAATCGACAATAAACCTCTCTTTATTTGTTGTCACTGTTGGCAGTTTCTTTAAAATAGAAAAAACTCGTAGGTTTTGCGAAAATATATTGATAAAAGACGGACATACTTCGCACGTGGATGCTAAAGAAAAAACTTTATTCTTCTATTAATATTATTCGTTTATTTTATAAATTTTAAAGTTCAGTTAATAGTAATGCTTTGTAAACAGTATGTCAATATGTCATATTATGGTAAAATAATTAAATAGGCATTGAATATTTTCTTTAACAATATGTGTTTCATATTGTACCGATTTTCCCGTTTTTCCTACGTTTTTCACATTTGCTGGAAAAACTCTTGGGAAAATCGAAAAATGACCTCCCGAGAGTACCTTTCAAATAAGATTTCCTTTCAGAAAAATTGGTATCATTGTAAACCGGAGTAAAATTGATGGTAGAAAAGTTATGTTCGTACATTTTCCCGTTTTTTATCGGGTTTTTACATTTGATGAGAAAACTCCTAAGAAAATCGAAAAATTACTTTCTTAAAGTACCACTCCGAGAAAATTTACTTTTAGAAAAAAGTCCACATCGCATACATTATAGTAAGCTTTCTGGTATAAAAAGTGTACACATAAAAAATTTTAAAAAATAAACAACTTTGTGAAACTAATATATTCTCCGCTACACTAGGAATCTAAAAATAAAAATTTTCGAATATACATTTGGCAATTTAATTAAGTCGGGTTGTAAATGGACTAAAACCTCCCGTAGCTAACAACATTCTGTTAAGTTTCTCTTAAATCCGCTATGCTGATTATTGATATTTAAAAATAATTAGTAAACAAATTAAATTTTTCGCTTTACGTTTTTACTCTCAGGATTATTCCTTACTAAATATTTTATTATAAGTTTATGACAAACCTATATTTCCCAACCCTAAAGCAATTATTTTTGTAAAATAGACAATGGTTATCCAAAAGTTTCCAAAGTGTACCGTGACGTAACTATAAATAATGTGCTGTAACGGAAAAAATTTGAGAATTACTATAGTCTATATCATAATAAACACGATATGTATGTAAAGATACATAATATTACATTTTGCTTTTTGGCGTGTGAGGACCAAAAAAAATTTTAAAAATCGGAACATCATTAGAATTCTGCCTTATTCACTTTCTTACATTTACATTTTGTTTTTCAAATATTGTCTACTGAGTAATAGTAACGGTACATGTTTGTCTTAAAGCCAAGTTTATTAAACAGATCAAGTTTAATTTTAAATTAACTCACATTTAACTCGTTAATGCTCACTCTCACAAAACAATGTATGTTTATTTAAAATAGATTTTATAAATATTCGTAAAACATTGTTTTGTCACTAACACGATTACTTGTGAAACACATAAATCAAATGTATCTATATGGAAATTTTCAAAATATTGTTCCGCTACAACAATATTTATTACGCAATTACAACTTCTATTTTTTATAGTGTGAGTATAAACTGAACTCGAATTTACTATTCAAAGAGGTAATTTTATTTTTGACACTTTGATTACTTATAATATTATATGTCAAATCCGTTGAAATAGAAAAATATCCGACCATATATTATTTGGTTTTCCCTTCGTTTAATAATCGATACAAAACTAGTTATCTTGTTTTACTTGTTCGGTTATTTTAGATTCTGAGTGGAGCGAAGAAGCTTGTGGTTTTAAAAAGATTTATTTTTATTTTTTTTATTTTTTTTTTTTCTATGGACAATTTTTCTACCAGAGATCTTGCTCAGGTTTTTAAGTGTAGCGCCTTTTCTGATAGGAAATCGGTGTGGGAAGGTAATTTTTTGATTTTCTCGAGAGTTTTCCCAGTTTATACAACCGGGAAATAACAGGAAAACAGGGGAAAATGAAGGAAAAATGTAAACATCGATTCATTAAACAAATATTATTAAAGAAAAAATATAATGCCTATTTAATTATTTTACTGTATATAACTGTACTTTAATAAAACATAAATGCTGTTTACGAAGCATCATTATCAACTGAACTCCGCTCAGAATTGGTTTCCGGTAACGATAGATTATCGTTGCTTACAATTACATTTTAAATTACCTATAACAGTGACTACACCCGTCCCCATTATCTTAGGACAGCATTTTTTTTTTTTTTTTACTTACATCTACATGTTTTATTTTACATGATTAAATTATTTTATTTTTTGCACAATATAGATTGTGCAAAAATTATTTATAAATCCATATAATACATTATAATATAAATATTATTCCCAATACACTCACTCACCCGTTCATCAAGAATCAAACCAAACCACTGAACCTAAAAGTGGTGTATATCTCTTATGTTGATTTTTTTACGATTTGGTGGATAACTTCAACATTTTTTGAATTGTAAATATGGTGTATGTTCACAAAGGTGAAAATTTCGTTTATGTTTACATTTAAATTGTTTACCCATTTCCGTGTTGGTTTTTTATTAACATTTTCACAAATAGAATATTATTTTATTTTTTTTTTTTATTGCTCCTTAAAATTTAAAACTAATAACTGTTTTCAAAATGCCTATATTTTATTAGAATATTTAACGTGTAAAGTTTATGAAATCAACAGGTTACTAAACTAAAATCCAGACATGATGTATACTCGTCGACATCGTCGTTTACCTACTTGAATTTGAAATAGAAAACAGATTGCGAGATCGTTATAGTATTATGGATAGGAGGGATAAATTTTTAGTTTTGCGCATTTCGTAAATTTTAAATTACAATACGTGCATGAAAAAATTGTATTCGTGAATGGACTTCTTTGCAAATATTACTTGTTGATTACTTGAGTTTCTGGAGTGAACGGTTCTCTGTACTGGATAGAGTACTTTTATAGCAATACTTCAAGTATTGTTGTTCAAGACTGTACATAATTTATAAGGGCTTGTGAATTCTCGGAATATTCATATTTTCGATGATAGTAAACTCGAGTAGACATTCCTTGCCCGGGCTTCAAAATGTTATTCAAGAGAGAAGATCTAAAAATAATCATGAAAATCAAACGATCCACTATATATAACTGTGCGGAAATAATCGTTTTTTTTTTTTTTTTTTTGACCTCGTAGATTTTGAAAAGTTTGAATATTACTTATACTAAATTAATTACTTACTATATATTATGCCAGTGGCGCCATTATTTTCATCTCGGTTACCCAAATTATCACACAAGACGTCATTATTATCGTTTTTAAAAAGCAATATTTTTTCAACGTACTGAATCTACCTAAGTTAGGTAGGTTAATTTAGGTAACTTAACCAAACCCATATAGTAGAGCGTAATAGTTTACTTGGAACAGTTTATATACTACTCATACCTTTACGTGACATAACTTTTGGTTAGAAAAAGTTGCAAAATTGTGTTATCTAGTCACTATTATATGTTTTCACTTCAATGGTTTTAGTTACAGAATTAAAAAACCCTAACCAATTATATGTGCCAACGGTAGTTTTACTAGAAAGGAGGCACAATAGTGCACACAAATTTATCTAGGAAAGAACAAATTTTTAATGGTGATGTTTTGTTCTTACAATCACTTTCGATATTTTGTATAATATATTTAATGTCTATCTATGAAGGGTAGATAAAGATATCCCCCCCCCATCTTCTACCACTGGGCGTTTATGTAACCAATCATGTCGATTAAAACTTATTAGACTGAGCATTGTAAAAATGATAGGTTCTCTTTTCGCATAATAATAAGTTCTATTTATGTATAGCACGCGTACTTTACACGATTTGCATTTATATTATTTATTTTTATCGATCTCATGTCCGTAAAAAAAAATGTGTGTATATATATTAGGTAATACTAATTTACCTACCGAAAAGTTGAAAAAATGTAAAGTACTTATATAGGGAAAATTATTTTACAAAAATGCATTGTAGGTTTGCCATAACCGTAACGTAGAACGGTTTCATTTAGATTTTTAGGATATGAGATAGGTAATATACTTCGAATGTGTTTATACCCAAGGGATGTTTAAAAAAAAAAAAACGAAAAATGTAGATAGGGTATACAACATCGAAGAAGCAGTCTACTTTTATAAACCCACGCGGGGTTTGAATAAAATGTCCAGCGTAATTTCGTACAACTGCGGTAATTTAATGAGTCATTAATGAGTGTGCACATTTTTTATCTCTTATAAAATAAAAGGGTATAATGCACTAGGTAATCCATAAATACGTAAGTATAAAATAATAAGTCCTTTAAAATAGATAACTGTATGTATTGTATTTTCACAAAGCGCGGTATAAAATAATTATTTCAAATTCTACACCAGCGGCGTCACCAGAGTTTGGGTAATTTATTAAATCGTATACATTAGTGTTGTAGTTTTAGATGTATGCTTTGGAAGAACACTGCTAAAATATAAAGTAGTTTAGGATTTCGTCCGATCAACGAACAGATGAAGTTTATAGTAAGTACATTCGAATTTCAGATTCCGAGCGTAGCGAAGAAGCTATTAGTTATACTAAAATGTATGTGTTTTTTCTCGGAAAATACTTTTTGGGTTAGTAAAAATACTCCAAATTTATTTCACATCATACCTATCCTAAAACGGTAAAAGATGACGATTTTTCGCCCGAGCTCCACACAGAATTGACTTTCGATTTCAATGATTTATCGTAGTTTTCAGTATCCAATACATCCGGATGTTTATTATCAAATGATATAGGACATCCAATACATTCTGAACTTATTTTACCTTCTCTTATACAACAGTGACCTACCCTTGGATCGAAGTTTATTTTAGCTTTTTTTATGAGTTATGTTCAAATAAAACGAGACAGCGTACGGGATTTATATTATTTTTTTAGTATAATTCTCTTTTATATTCTAATATTATTATTAGGTAGTTTTTTGACGATATTGTTGTGTTCTATTTTTTTTTATTTTTTTTTTCCCCGGAAAACAGCGGCTGTTTTATTATATTCACTATATAGGTACTCCGTATGTTTTGTAAATCCTATCAGTTTATTATTTTAAATGAATTATCGTCAACACGAACCGGGTTTTTATTTTAACATAATGTGTTTTATGAATTTCGTGTTAAATTAAATAATTTATTACTGTGTAGTAATTTCCATATTTTTATTCAGGT